AATTGTTATTATATTTAAATTTTATATCTGGAAGTGCATTTTCCGGCCATCTAGAGGTGTCACAATAACACATTTTCAGGTGTTTGGTCCTTTCTATTTGTGAAAGTACACTCCCTAACCGGCCCCCATCTATTTCGAATTCCTGGATCCGCCACTGGAAATACAACAAATATGAAGTCATGTTACTATAGATTGATGTCTATAAAATAACCTATAAAATTCAACAAACTTCCTAAAATATCCGTAGCTTCCAGGGGGCTTCGCCCCTGCACCCCCACCGGGGGCCCTTGTCGGCCCCGGCCCCCAACTTAGATGCTCGCTTCGCTTGCATACTGGACCTTATGAAATCCCCACCCCAACTTTCAAAAACGTTCCGCCGCCGTTGGTCAACAGGTGGGTATGATTTCGGAATCCGGGATTGCACTTTCTTGCATTCTCAGGAGTTAATAACGATGGTAATTATGAGAATGATGATGACATAGGCGGTGAAATAGTTTGTGAGTGATGAAAGGACTAATGACATCAAAATAAACTCATCGTAAATGAGACCGGAGCGAAGGGCGAAAATATTTTTGAAAGGTGGAGATGGTGTGGGGGAGGGGACTGGAATTCGTGAGCTCACATCCATCTGAGCACCACCATGGTGAGGTGTTTAAAGTTTAAGATATAGAACCTCTAGATGGCTGGAAATGTTATAAAATGTTTATAATATAATTATATTAGTATAAAATCCCTCATCATCACATCACCATGATAGTCCAAATGAAGCTTCAACAATTTCCTCAAAATTTGTTTTTTATCAGAAAACTTTAATAACAATTGTTTCATGGCATACTGATCGTAAGTACTCATTGGTTCATGAAACCAAGCAGGTAATAAATGAAACAATATACTTTATTTTTTTATTTCGTTTTATAAGATGTGTATAATATATTCAATACTAACATTTTGTATATAATTCTACTGTGAATATTCATGAGATAATGCTATATTGCTTTACTTTAAAAAAACACTTACCACTAAGGATAATACCACTAGAGCATACAGATAAAAGTGTAAACTGACTAAAATGATGTATAAGTAATTATAGACCTATGAAATTACATTTGGATTTTACTTGACAGATGTATCCACATACACAATACTTGCCGTTAAAAATGACAAGTATTTCATTTTAATTACTTCACACATTACTTGTTAAAACGGATGATAACAAAAAATGTACAGTGTTAGTTAACTACGATTTTTTTTTTTTTTTTTTGGCGGTACTACTTTTTGGCGGAGGCTCGAGCCAACAGCGATAAGCTGCCGGTACTTTAACTTATCGTAAGACAATGTTGACACAATGTTTTAATATTATTATACGTTAACAAAGTGCTGTGTTTTTCTTAATTTTATCTTTAAATTTTGTTTTTCGCTACGTAAATGTTTAATTTGTTATTATTAAAGTCTAATGTTTACTCAGTCCACGATGCTATTACACTAGTAAATAGGTAGATTAATTGACCCTAAAGTTAGGACTAAACGGTTTAACAATTCATTTCTTCCGTCAGCAGTCATACTTAATATGCAGTTTAATAGATAAGCCATAATAATATACTGTATATCTTGCCTTTCCATCACAACTCAGTAATCCTTGCAATGTACTTGTTTTTAAAATTAACCAATTTCTGTTTTGCAACTTGTATTGTATATATTCTAATTTTATTTCTATATTTTCCACTAATATGAGTGTATTTAAAGGATGCATATCTCATAGCTGTATCTATACCGTTGTGACAATAAAGTTTTATCGTATGGTATCGTATTAATATAAATTAAGAGATAAAAGGCAAATTAAATGAAGGAATTCGTAAATGGGTATATTAGATTCTTTGATAATGCTTTTGTTTTTGGTTTTAAGTTTCTAAATTTGTACATTGGTAGATGTGTTCTTTTTCCTGTTACATCTGCTACAGTATACGTCACAAAATGCTCGTCTGAAATTATAATTCATTGCATTATATATCACAGGATTTACAGATGAATTTATAAAAAAAATCAGACGGATAATATTAAATTTTGAAAAGTTTGGTGCAATAATATAATTTATTGATAATACCTCATATATGTAAAATGGTAGGACGCAAGCAACATAAACCGTAACAGTTACAAATACTGTCAAAAAAACTTTCAATTCTGATCTCGATGTTGGTTCTCTTCCGGCCGAACTAGTTGCTACACTTCGCGACTTCCGCAGAACCATCAGCATCGCTGAATAAAGAGCTAGAATGATCACAATTATCAACACAGTGAGAACTAAATGTACTTAAAAACGAATTGAAAGCCAGTTGATTTCTGACTCCATAGAAGTGCCACAATATGTAAAATTATTCGGCAATGTATCGACAGCAATGAGAGGCAAACTAAGTTCGGGGTTGCGTGTACGAAACACGATCAGAAAATACACATTCCAAGACAAACATAAAAACCAGATGATGCCACAGATCTTTATAGACCTGGAACAAATCCCAAATCCACTTTGTTTGAACTTCAAAGGTCTGCAGACTGCCATGTAATGTTCAACGGACAACCAAAATATTGTGAAGAGTGCCACGATTTGTCCTGTACTTATGAGAAACCAAGTTAGCGGACAAACCCATTTCGGCACTTCACCAATATCATACCAATCATTTACTGGACTTTTAATATAAGAGTTCCATATCAATTCAGGTGCCGTTATTAAGAACAACGTATCAGCTATTGCTAAATTTGCAAAGTACACGTTAACAGGTGTGTGCATGCACTTTTTTCTTGCTATCACGATAATTGTCAATAAGTTACCAATTATACCGATGGTGACCACAATCGGCAAAATGATGGAGATGATAACTTTGTCCAAATCGGTATACAATAACGATTCTATATAATCTGCCCAATATTCATTGTAGCTTATTGAGTAGGCATTATCTTCTATCGTAAGGTTTTTATATGATCCGTTTTTGACGCCTGACGTTCTGACGGAGAAAGCAGTAGTAGCAGTAGTTTTGCTGTGGAGATAACAACAACAATAACAATAATAATAATAATAATAATAATAATAATAATAATAATAATAATAATAATGATAATAATGATGATGATAATAATGATAATAATGATAATAATAATAATAATAATAATAATAATAATAATAATAATAATAATAGCAGCAGCAGCAGTAGTATTTTGTTGTGGTGGTGGTAGTGGTGGTAGTAGTGGTGATATGACGGTAGCTTCAAATTATATATTATACAGTAGTACACATTGTTTTGCCAAATGTGTTTAGTAGATTATATTTATTAAAAATTCATATGAAAAAAGGGCAAGTAGCAGCAACGACAGTCTTTTGACTAATGTAACTAATACATTTACCATTTACGTACTAACCCTGTTGTGATTATGGAACGCCGTTCAAGCAAAAATTTGATGATAACCAGTAAACGACGATGATGAAAAAAATATATCGTCGTTGATGAAATGCAAACCGTCGATGATGAAAAGAGTGAATTGTCGATGATAAAAAGTGAATCGTCGATTATGAAAAGTAAACTGTTAATAATGAAAAAAGTGAATAGTCGTTGATGATAAAAAGTGAATTGTCGATAATGAAAGAAAGTGAATCGGCGATGATAAAAAATAATCGTCGAAGCAAAAACAAGTGAATAGTCGATTATGAAACAAGTGAATCGTCGATGCAGATACAAGTGAATAGTCGATTATGAAACAAGTGAATCGTCGATGATAAAACAGTGAATCGGCGATGGTGAAACGAGTGTATGTGCTGGATTGCAGAAATCTTCAAGTACCCTTAGTCCCCAGTTTAATTCCACCACAGCTCTTCTTGTGTAGAAGCAAGAAGCTGAAGATGTCAAATGTTTCCGATAAAAGGTTTTAAGCAATTGGTCCTGCGTGCACGTCAAGAACACAATACAATTTTCGAAAAAAAGGTATGGAATTGTCTCCCGGTGTACTGCCTTATTCAAAATATCTTAACTGTCATCAATATTAGTACTTAAAAGAAAATTTCCAAGAGGAAAAATATATCAGATTCTTTTAAATCATTTTGTTTTTGGTTTGAAGTTTCTAAATTTGTACATTGGTAGGTGTGTTTTTTCGGTTACATCTGCTACAGTATAGGTCACAAAATGCTCGTCTGAAATTATAATTCATTGCATTATATATCACAGAATTTACCGATGAATTTATAAAAAGCATCAGACGGAAAATATTTCTTAGTGAAATATTTTGTGCAATATCATGATTTAATAATTCTACATATATGTAAAAGGGTGCGCTGCAAACAACAAAAACCGTAACAGTAACAAATACTGTCAAGAAAACTTTGAGTTCTGATTTCGATGTTGGTTCTCTTCCGGTCGAACTAGATGCTATACCTCGCGACTTCCGCAGGAATATCAGCATCGCCATGTAAAGAACTACTATGATCACAATCATCAACACAGTGAAATCTCGATTTACATACCACTGAATTTCATTGAAATCTAACTCGGTACTGCGACAACGTGTTAAAAAATTCGGCATAATATCGACAGCAGTGAGAGGCCAACTAGATTCGGGGATGAGTCTACGATACGCGATCAGATAATGCACATTCCAAGACAAACATAAAAACCAGATGATGCCACAGATCTTTATAGACCTGGAACAAATCCACTTTGTCTGAACTTCAAAGGTCTGCAAAGGGTGCAGGTCAACTCGGCCACAAGTCAACTCGGCCACAGTCAACTCGGCCACAAGTCAACTCGGCCACAATTCAACTCGGCCACAAGTCAACTCGGCCACAAGTCAACTCGGCCACAAAAAGTTCGGCTACAGCCAACTCGGCCACAAGTCAACTCGGCCACAAGTCACCTCGGCCACAAGTCAACTCGGCCACAAGTTATTTAATGTAAATCTCAGTTTTTGCATCCTTTTTCTTCAATATATGATTGAAATAAAGTACACAGTATATTTTAGCAAAACAGGACCACCACACTACCAAAAGAGATTTGAATGCTATTGCCATAGAATTAAAAAGTGTTATTTATTAATGTGTTCGTCTTCCGTTTACTCACAACATTCTACTTCAACAATAATATTAAACAACAATAACGACAACGCAAGAGTTAATTTGCCTCTTGAATTTAGATCGTACTAATATATCACGAAGGTTAGGTGGTCTGCGATAGGCTATGAACGGTGTATCCGGAAAAACAGACCTAAGACGTTCTGTGGTCTGTAGGATAGGCATATGTTTCTGAATTATAGCCCTTAGTGGTGGTAACCTAGGGTGATATATATATATATATATATATGTTTTTTTCCTACAATAAATTGTGTTATTTATGACAAAGAAGTAGAAATATTAGCCAATGCACTGTTTTGTGAACAGCTTTTTGTATATTGAATGACGATAATGTTAGAGGCAATGTTATTAATATTTTAATGGAAAGACAAGTTGATGTACAGTATGGCTACCATGAACTGTTTAAAGAAGAATAAGCGCATGCAGTTACTTTACAACCATTTTAAAACATTTAATGTATTATTTTTTAAATTTCCATATAGATAAATCTAAAAACCACATTTAGTACCCATGGGCCTCTCCCCATGTGTCTCCCGTAAATCCAGGAATGGAGTCTCTTGGAAACTGGCAGGAAGGACACTCGCATTCTGGGCTGTGAGCAAGCACGAATCTCTCGAAATAAACCCTTCATGATGATTTGCATGCTTTATTTAGGTTTTATACTGTAATATCAATTGTCTGCGTAACAGTTAATGCCAATCATTATTGGTTATCATACCACAGCACAGCAAAATTTAAGTGTCATAAGAAAACTCATTTAAACAGATCTCCCGGATGTGGATTCTTCCAATTTGGGACGACCTATGTTGAGTGCGGTCTTTAATTATAGGGATTCTATTAGACACTAAAAAAAACCCATTGTTTTGGCAGACCAAACTGAAAATTTCTACTTCTTTAAATTGTATAGTGGTTTTAGTTTTTTTACACACTACAGACATCAAAATATATCAATAGCCGATGTTCTGTATACAACGTGCTCCGTATTGTATGCCAATAGTTTTAGTAGGACACTGAAATTGTATTTTCTCATTAAATGGAGCGCAAGTTTCGTGTGTGGCTGCAGTAATTCATCCTCAAACACTTGGAAGAAAAATTCAACCGTAATGTATAATATCATGGTTTTGGCAGACCAAACTAAAAAAAGGTTTCTTTCATTCAATAAATACATTATTTCTGATATATAAAATATAGGCCCTATAGCGATTTTAATGCATTTTAAGAATATGATGATGATGATGATGATGATGGATATACTTAAGATGATGTTTTGTGTATCAGTGCTATGTATTGAATGGTCTGCGCTGTTAGTAATATTGTAATGGTTAAGTAGGGACACTGAACTTGATGTGTGGCTTGACTACCGAGAAATAGTTTAAGCATGATTATTAATAATAACAGTATACAGTAACTGTAGGCCTTACGTCCATTTTAACAATCTTACATTTCACTAGGACAATTATCTTTTCTTCAAACTAGAGACCAAAGCTGCTAAAGACTACTAAAACCCTGGTTCCAAAAGGGATTTTTAATTGGTGGTATGGAGGGAGGACCTGTAATAAAATAAAGTGGTTCGGCCAAAGCCGGTGCGGCCGATGCGGTTCCGACGGCCCTGATATAGTACTCATTGTTTTGCTAAAGCGTTTAGTGACTAACGTAACTAATACATTTACCATTTACGTACTAACCCTGTTGTGATTATTAAAGGCCGTTCAAGCAACAATTCGATGATAATCAGTGACCGATGATGATGAAAAAATTTAATCGTCGATGATGAAATGTGAACCGTAGATGATGAAAAAAGTAAATCGTCGATGATTACAAAAGTGAATCGAATATGATGAGAAATCAAAATCAGGTGAAAACGAGGCTGATCACTTTTTTCAGTAGCTTGGTAGCAACTTTCTAACCAACTCATTAATTTTGGCGAGTAGCTGATCGAGGAATCATCCCGACGATGATCGAGCGACCAGCAGCCTCGACAATATACAACAGTTAGTGAGAAGTCGTGAGTTTTTGTGATCGTTTACGTACGCAGTAATAGAGAGAGGGTTTAGTCGTCGTCAGTTCAATCACGGAGGAATAATTCAATTGAATTAATATCAGTTTGTTGATAGTTAGGCCTACACCTATGGCTATGCCTAGGATTAACACAGTCAACATCTACCCAGCACCATGCGTCAGTACTCCCGTCCCGCTCGCAACAGGTAAGTTCTCACGTAGCCTATCCAGCTGAAGCTGACGGTGAAGTTATTACCGTAGGTTTCTACTAGACTACTTTTACTTATATTAATAGGCCTAGCTAGTCTGACCATAGAGATATGGTCGGACTAGGCCGGACTGTCACAATAGGCCCTATTTAAAAGGGCCGGGTAAATGCCTAGAATATCGTTGTATAGGCCCTAGACTTTTCATGCCATGGCGACTTTGTCACATTGTGCAAGTGCATTTTTTTTATTTCATAGAAAAATAGGCCTTCAGGTAGGCCTACTACTAAATAACTAGGCAGCTGGTCCTATGAAAAACTGTCTAGGGCCAGGCCTAAATGTTAAAACTGCACTGTCTAAATAATGGTGATGTGCTATATAATACTATTTTTTTTTTTTGTAGGACTACAATATAGGTGATAGGCATACATGACACCCTGGTGACATGGTATTTGACAATTCCCATGATGACACAGAAATACCCCAACATTTGCCATTAGTACAACCACCCAACCTGCACCCAAAACTGGCATCTAGTGAAACATGTACAAAAGATGGTGGTACAGAGCATACAAGCACCCAGCAAGACCTTGGCAAGAAACACTCCAGTCGTCTACTGAAACTTGTAATGGAAGCTACACACAATGTAACGCGAGCAATAGAAAATTGGGTGAATATCTCATCATCATTCAGCCAGAGTACATGAAGCATGTTGGCATGGTAAAAAAATATCAGTGGTTTTTTAAGAAACATTAATGTCTGATTATTTTTGTACCAATATTTCTACAACATTAATACATTACAAACTAGCAGACAGGAAGTTTTTACGCATCTGGTTTATATTGCAGCACTGTATTACAATGTGCATGCCAAATTTATAATAAATAAATAA